AATTTAATTGATGTCAGTAACATATTGGCTGCATGACCGAGTGGTTAACATGTTGGACTGGTAATCTAATGATTGCTGGCTGCGTGGGCTCAAACCCCATCAGGGGCAAATTGTTTTTGTGAGAAAGGAAGTTTAGTACTGGTTGGTTCCAGGGATAGATTTGTGAATATTTCAATAAGCTTATAGCTTCCAACACAATCAAACTAAAATAAATTGGTATAAACAAACATCATATTTTAAAAATTGTGCTTGCTACAGTATAGAGCCTTGTCAGACTGTACGGACATTTAGACTGGCCTTGCTATAATGCTGGTTAGGAAACTACCCGCCTATATGACTGAAATACTGTTGGGAAAAGGCGTAAAATGAAACAAACAAACAAACAAAATATATTGGTGAATATATATAATTATATTTATTCAGTAAAATGTTCTCTCAAGTACCAGCAAGGTCTGTACACTTACTTGTCAAATATTTTGTTGCACTATAAGTAGATAAGAATTTCAAGCACTGGTACATACACCAGAAAATTATAGTTGATATACAACAATATACAGTTAAACCTACTTTCCCATAAAGAACAGTCTTAGTAATAGAAAAGGTTATCTTTGTTGAATCTTGTTCTAGTAAACAAAGTTTTACTGTATTTGTTCAATTAGGGAACTTAAATGATGGTATTTAATGACATTTTTTCTACATATGACATTTGCTCAAAAGGTAGTCTTTACCATAGGTTTGACTCAATTGTTGGCAGTATTTTACCCATTACCCCATGAGCATTTTGTGAAAAATGGCATTGAATAGTCTCCTGTTACAAGTTCAAGTTGCTATAAAACTATAAAAACTGCTTCAATACTAATCAAACTTCTGGACCATTGCCTTTGTAACAACATGCTCAGTCTTAAATTTCCTGTTACCATGGCAACTAGGGGACATCTCAAAATTGCCAAAAATCACTATTTTGCGTTGATTGTTTCCATCAAAATTGATTTCAAAGTGCTGCCACTTCTCAATGGATTGAGATAGAGTCAAAGGCTTGTTGATTACTTGTTGATTGTTGAAAGTGTTGGTTACACGTTACCTTATGATCGATCTGGGGTCATTTTTACCCTCTCACAAGTCCAAAATTTTCTTGGCGATGAGGGGGACTACCGCCCCCCTTCAAACCCCCCAAACAGAAGGGGGCACATCCCCCTTCTGGGAACCATCTTTTGGATGGGGAACAGCGCCGAAAAAGTGGTCACTTTTTGAAACAACATTTCTCAAAAAAAAACAAGGTTTGGGGGGCTTAATAAGGCATTTTTTCACCATTTGAAAAAGCAAAAAGGGGGAGGGGAGGCGTAGAAATGCATATATATCTGGTAATGGATTAAAGAAGCCAATTACATGTATATTGTTGAAAGTTTCTATTGCCTGTTTCATACATGAACTATATTTACAGGAGGAAGTAACAGTGTTCCCCTGGTGATAATAGAAGGATTTAAAGCAGAACAAGCTAACAATGGTGCTCAGTAAGTTAGTTTTTTGTATGATTTATCAGTCTCTGAATGATTGAGTGCTTCTATTTGCTGGATACTTCTAGATAGATTAAGTAAACATCTGTTTAAACATCAAAGAAAACCTTGTTATTATTACTGTAAAACACTTATCATTCGCGAGAAAATTTATTTTCGCTAATATTCGCGAGTTTCTAAGACGCGAATTCATATTTCTCGCGAATATTTCACTTTGTCTATACACTTGTCCGAAAATGAACACTATCCGAAAATGCGTACACATGGATATATATCTGCGGAAAAGTATTGAAGCCAGTTCTAGTTACATCATGTTGTTATTCAAGTGTTTCAGAATAACTGTTTTGGTATTTGGTACAAATGCTTTAGCACCTGCGAGTTGTTTGTAACATTTCTATTTATTGTATCCTATTGTATTGTACTACAGTTCAATCCGGAGGGTAAACATAATTGTTTTCTACAGGTTAGAGAAAATTACAGTACTGTTTAATTGATTTTCGTCTGCTTGCCTTTGAATGGCTAATCGGTGAAACTTTAACACTTTGCATTACTAGTAACAATGCTAGAGGCACGGAGTATGATCATGGACAATACATGACAAACACAGTGAACACATATCAAATAATTATCAAACTTTATTGACATATTTTTAGCTCGACTATTCGAAGAATATGAGAGCTATTGTAGTCGCCCCGGCGTCGGCGTCCGCGTCCGCTCTGGCGTCTGCGTTGGTTAAAGTTTTTTGTAAAGTCAAATATCTCAATTATTACTTGAGATATTCAATTGAAACTTACAATACTTATTTATAGTAACAAGGTACATCAGATTGACAAGTTGGATAACTCTGCCTACAATATTGACAGAATTATGCCCCTTTTTTAACTTAGAAATTTGGTTAAAGTTTTTTGTAAAGTCAAATATCTCAATTATTGCTTGAGATATTCAATTGAAACTTACAATACTTATTTATAGTAACAAGGTACATCAGATTGACAAGTTGGATAACTCTGCTTGCTACAATATTGACAGAATTATGCCCCTTTTTAACTTAGAAATTTTGGTTAAAGTTTTTTTATAAAGTCAAATATCTCAATTTATTGCTTGAGATATTCAATTGAAACTTACAATACTTATTTATAGTAACAAGGTACATCAGATTTACAAGTTGGATAACTCTGCCTACAATATTGACAGAATTATGCCCCTTTTTAACTTAGAAATTTTGGTTAAAGTTTTTTTATAAAGTCAAATATCTCAATTATTGCTTGAGATATTCAATTGAAATTTAAAATACTTTTTTATAGTAACACTGTACATCAGTTTGCAAAATTGCATAACTCTGTCTGCAAAATTTGCAGAATTATTTGCCCCTTTGAAAGTTAGAAATTTTGGTTAAAGGTTAAAGGTCTTCAAAGATATTTTACTTGAAACTTTACACATGCACTTAGGGTCATAATTGGAGGGTCATAATTGTATGTCACTGACCAAGTTCCATAACTCTATCTTGCATTAAGGCTGATTTCATATTCCCTTTTCTACTTAGTCTCTTGGTTAATGTTTACATGCAAGTTTTACATATCTCAATAACTATTAAAGATATTTATTTAAAATTTCACATATGCATTTAGGGTCATAATTGTAGGTCACTGACAAAGATCCATAATTCTATCTTGCATTTAGGCTGATTTTTCTCCCCTTTTTCAACTTAGAAATTCAGTGGTAAAGTTTTGCTTGTAAGCTGTTATCTCAATAACTACTGAAGGGTTTGTGCCTTTTTGGGGACAATTTTATGCATTCATAATAATAAAGCAGTGATTTACTTGATAAAAACATCTTAATAACAAGCCTTTGTACCTTTTCTGTCAAATTTATGTATTCATAGGTTATGTAGTATTATTATACTCAATAAAACACCCTTGTGACATTACCTTCCGAATAGTCAAGCCAATACTGTATAATTGGCCTATAACATGAATTTATAAAAAAAAATTGGCCCTTTAGTGAACTTAAAAAATTTAACATTATGAAGGCTCTTTTACTATCAAGCACTTAGAATAGTCGAGCATGCTGTCCTACTGACAGCTCTTGTTAGACAGACGGTTTCACTTAACAAGAAGATTAGCAAGCTATCAGAAAAATCGATACGGATATAATTGCATTCGTCGCACAATAAAAATAAACGACGCAAAGTTGGTAAACGGACAGGACAGAAAATATCCGAATGACATCGGGTTTCCGGTTTCACATTTTTTCGGGATGATGCGAATTCATGTTGACGCGAAATAATTATTTTGGACATTTTGCCTCAAATTCGTGAAATAAGGTTCTCGCGAAAAATAAGTGTTTTACAGTATTATATTACTAATAGATATCTTGTCAAGATTCATAAAAACAAAATGAAAATCATAATTTTGAGTGTTTTGAGAGAGTGTTCTACCATTTGATACAATTTGTTTTAATTTATTCATCCTAATACATAGAAAAATTAAAGTCATTTCATTATAAGAATGCTGCATTAAGGTAAGAACATCACAAATTTGGTATGACTATTTCAGGCCAGCTGCAAAGAGATCCAAGGCAGAGTCATTGTTACCACAGGTACATGCCACAAAATCAATATCCACATCTCAAACTGTCATACAAAATTTCCTCACAGCTTTCAAATGTTACGAGTTACTGAATTCCTCAACAGAATTACAGAGAGGTAAGTTGCAGCTGCATTTAACCATTTAACCTGCTGAATTTCTTAAATGGTCTGGCTTTCATAAAGGGAACTGTTCATTATCAACTTTAGGGATATCAAGATCAAAATTTGAGGCTGGTCAGCCAACAGTATTGAGCCTGGTCAGACTGCATGAATGTGTTGACAGGCTATATACTGGTGGCAAACACTTATCACTTTCATTAACAGCAGTTTAAATGCTAAAACTGGTGTGTAGATCTATACAAAGTTTGTTTCAAAGCCTGGTTTGTAATCATTTGGGTCTTTTTGTCAATATTTTTACCATTGAAAAAAAAAAGATGGAAACAAATTTTGGCTTTGCACTATGCACACATTGCAGTTTTAAACAAATTTATTAAAATTATTGTAAAACAAGTTTTTACACTTTTGATTCTATTAAGATGTAATAGCCATGTGTGTATATTTTCAGAGTTTGTTATATTGTGCAATAACTGGAGAATGGAGACATGGAGTTGGATGGGACATTTCCAAACTGATATGTTTCTTTATCAGGTATGTCTGTACTGATCTTGATGAAAAAATAGCATTATAAAAGGTTGCATACTTCTTTTGTTCCTTGTTTATTTCAATATGTGTCCTTGAATGAAATTGTGTCCCTTGTTTTTTTCCCCAGGATTTATGTCTCTTTTTCTAGGATACGTGTCCCTTGTTTTTATGGAGTTGAGTATTTTCAGTGTTGTAGGCACCAAGTTGTGCTCTTTTATATATATTTGTATCCCTTCTTTTCATTGTGTCCCATGTTTGTATAGATTTAAGTCCCTTGCTTATGGGTTTTGTCCAAAAAAGAGTTGTTAAAAAAAAATTTTTTTTTTTTGTTTAAAAAATTTTTATTTTTATTAATTTTCAAAGGAGAAGTTTTTTTTAAAAAAAATGAGTTCCCAAAAAAAATTAAAAATCCATTTTTTAAAAAAAAATCGACATTTGGGGGGTTTTTAGGTTTCCCTTTTATTAAAACCCGAAAACCCACTTTAAACCCCCCCCCCCCCCTTTTTTTTTCCTTAAATATGAAAAAACCTATTTCCCCCACATTTTCTTGAGAAAAGTTGTTAAAAAAAGGTATTTTCGGCCCCCCCCACCCAAAAAAATTAAAGGGGTTTTCCCCCCCAAAAAAGGCCCCCCCCCTTTTTTTTAATTTTAAAAGGGGCCCCCACCAAAAAAATTTTCCCTTTGAACTTAAAAACCCCGGCACAAAGGAAGGGTTACCGCAAAACCTTGGTTTTAACCCTGGGGAAAATTTTTTTTAAAAAAAATTTTTTACAAAATCCCTTTTTTTCAATTTTAAAAAATTTCCCCCCCGGGGGTTTCCCGGGGAAAAAGGAAAATTTTTAACTCCTTCGGATTTGGTTTTCCCATTGAAAATTTTGTTTGTTTCATTTCAATTTTTTAGAGTTTCCTAAAGGGGGGTTTTGTGAAAATGGCCTTTTCCAATTTTCCTAAAGGGAAGGTTTTTTAAAAAAATTTAATTCCATTTTTTTGGGGAAAAAAAATAATAGGAGATTTTAAAGTTTTAGGTACAAAACGATAAAAACATCATCACATGATTTTTTTAAGAAAATGAATAGGTTTAGTTAAGTTTGGGCCCTGAATAGTAACATTGCCCTGCTAATTGATCATTCACAAAGGTTTTGGAAAAAAGATGTTAGTACTAAGTTGATATAATTTTAGATATTAAACAGAGGGTTGGTGATTCTAATCAGGTGTCTGCTAGAATACATGTAGTTAGCAATTCCAGCACCCTAGGTTGTCCACTGTTAGTAAAGGACTTTGCTTTCTTGATTTTTAAAGTGAAGGTGTCATTAATAACTCAACAAAACAAATGATAAAAATCAATAATAAAAGGCATTAATTATGAATTCATATATTTTCACTTGATATCTTTCAGATAAGACATTCACTGCAGCTAGCCTGTTGTTTCTATTGTCTGAACAACTACTCTGTAAGTTTGCAATATTTTATTCACCATTGTCAACCTAAGATACATCTTGTATGATAGTGTAATAAAATGAATAAAACAAATTAGATATTGTCCATGGGAAACAGGATTTGCTTAACAGAGATGTTTTTACACAAGTCTTACTGTTTTAATTACATACACTTCCGAAAATAGGAGCTAAATACTTCTTATCAATTCAACTTAATGTTAAGTAATAAATATGTAACAAAACAGAAGTTTTTTATGCAAGTGTCTGAAAAAATAACTGTATAAATAAGAATTTGAATATTTAAGCATTCAAATAAAAAATCTTTTTTTTCCTAAAGATTTCTTTTGATTTTCGCAAATTATTTCAATTATTTTCTTTTGATCAATATTATAATGCTTTAATTGGTTACAGAGAGCATGTGAGTTAATACTTGACGTTGTAGCAGCTTTTCCAGTATCTACCCACCGACTACACCAGAATCTACCCAAAAGAGAACCGTTTTGTATGGTTCCGGGGGGGGTCATCCTGTTTTTTTTCGGGTTCCCCTGCACAAAAAGCTAAAATTTACCTTTACTGTTACAGTTTCCATGACTTGCTTCAAGGTAACAAAGTTTTTTGTCAGTTTTTATTTAAAAATATTGTAAATTTAACCAAACCAAGTAAAGAAACTGAAGTGTTATCCTTAATTGATACTTAAACTGCATGATCAGACTTGATTGATAAGTCTTATATAGCATGCTTGAATTTTATTATTACACATTTTCTGAAAGTAGGGTTTTTCTTACTATATTTAATATTAGCCTATTTGGGTTTTTTTAAGGTACAGTAAACAGATTTCTTTTTATGTTCATGAAATTTGTTTAGAATGTCATTGTTATGAACTCTGTTTCAATAATTTTTGTCGTTTTTTTTCTTCATTTTTTTAGGACAGGGCATTTGGTGGAAAATCCTCAGATTCATTACTAGGACATACACTAGTTTTGTTACAATATGATTGGCCTAACCATGCGACATTATTCTCACAAATTATCAAGAAGATTCAGAAACAAGGCAGCTTTAGCTTTAATCTCTTCTTTAATTATATCATCAGTATCCTTTATATATATGGATTCTAAACTTTGTATGATAATATTAGATATTTGAAGTACCTGTATTTTTAATTTGTCAGGATTATGTAGTCTAGCAGTATATATGTGTTATTTGTAACGTATTTCAAGCAATAGATGGATTGGTATATTGCTAATGGCATAAAATTCTAACATAATTTACAGACTTTACTCAAATGACTTTTGATTTACATAATCAAAGTTTTTTTTATGTATTACATTAGTTTTGAAAGTCATAAATATGAGAAATTAACATGTATTTCAGTTCAAGCTCTGATGGGTTGAATTCCTTATAGTGCAATGCATGTTTCCTATCAAGCTTCATTTTTAGTTTGTTTCCTAGCACAGTTTATCCAGATTGCTCTTTAATTATGGGTTATATCAGGACCAGCAAAATTATATACATGTACATGAATTGTTATCCTTAATATCATGATAAGATGTTGACATTTTGGAAGAATTCTCGTTCATTAAGACACAAGAGGGAGGTAAAATTCATCTGGATATCTTACCCATCAGTACATCTGCCATAGCACAGTAAGTAAACATACTGATTGGATATAAATGAATGAAAATTATTTTGACTGCATTAAGTATCTTAAGTCAGTTAGATTATTATAATAGTAGCCCAGAAAATCATCTTGCAAATACACACTTTGTGATTTTCTGTGGCAAGAACATGGTGAGCTATTGTACTCACAGAGGCAATGGTGTCACACTTTGGTTAAGTTTTTGCATGCAAGTTGGTATTTCAAAAACCATTGAAAGGAATGGATTGAAACTTCACACACTCATTTGAGAGTATAATGGGAGGTTAATTTTTTAAGGCCAATAACTCTAACTGGGATTTTGACAGAATCATGGACCTTTTTGAACTTAGAAAATTCTACATTATCCAGACTCTTGTTTAACCCTTTCACTGCCATAGGGACGGCTTATGCCGTCCTTGTTATTTTCGGCATATTTGCCATATGGACGGCTCTTGCCGTTTCTATAATAATAATAAATTAGGAATAATAAAAATAATAATAAATATAAAAAAAATTATACCATTGACAATAGTTATTATTATACTAACAGATTTGGAAATATAAATAATTCTTATAATACTAATAACAAATAATAATAATTATATTAATTGATAATTTATTAATTTCTTAGAAAACCCTCTTGCAAATAAAGGATCAATAAAACAATAACCCTCTAGCAGCGAAAGGGTTAAGTATCAAGCACTAAGGAAAGTCGAGTGCATTGTCCTACAGACAGCTCTTGTTAGGTTTATTTTTAAGCCCTGCCCTAACTACCTTGTTCAAATGGCTTACATTCTTGGTCAATCTTCAAAATATTTCTAGTTGTGATATAAAGGCATCACTGTGATGAGTAACTTATGTGTGATACATGCTAATATTGGTTTGAGTAGCGTGCAATAGAACTTGCAACCTTTGAATTTAAAGACATTCTGAGCAACCAATGAAGACGATCATTTATAAATATTTATATACATTTTTCAAACAAACAAGATTTGCTGTCATACAAACAAAACTTGCTGTTCCACTGTTAAAATTCTTCTTTCTTTGTATAATTTTAGACAAAGAACTGTGACTCGAGGGGTGAACAAGGGAGTTACAGAAGATTTTAAGCAGATGATGGAAAAACAGATCAAAAGAAGTGAAGAAAACCATGAAGAACTTATCAGACAATTTCTTAAAGATGAAAGAACATTATTACTATCTGCTCTAGTGTGAAAAATACAACCTTGAAAGCTAAATGATACAAGTTTTTAAGGATATTTTTCAAAACTTGAACCTTTTGGGGGGGGGGGGTGAAAGGGACAGGGCAGAGCTTCATTTGATGTCCTTTGTAATAACAGTACAACATTTAAATTGTTGTTGTTGTTTGTTATTATCAATATTGATTTAACATGACTTATTCATTATTTTCATCTATCTGTGCTTTTTTTTGTATCAAATATAAACAAAGTATTTGAAATATTCCATTAAGAAGCATAGGTCACCTGTCTTTGACAACAGAGAACTTATATCCGGCTTGGACATATGGCACAGTTTGCATCCTTGAGGTTTTTTCTTTTGTTTGGTTTTACGGAGCACCAACACAATTTAGATCATATGGCGCCAAAACGGGAATGATGATTTTTTGCAAACGTTGGGTGTTACAAACTTAATGCAACACCAGGAGCCAGAACCACCCCACCTGCTAGAACTAAAGAATGCATAGACTCCAGTAATTTGAACCCATTTAGTCACCTTTTACTTTCATGCAGTGATAAACAGCTGCAATTCTGATGCCTCAACCCTTAAAGGCAACCCATCAGTCACAGAGGGACTTGAGTAACTGTCTGGTAAGCTCAATAGGTAAAAGCATTGGACTGTGAATTTGGTGACCCAGGGTCAATTCCGGGATTATGGTCATTTGCATCGTACATTCTGGTATGTACAGAAGTTTCAGTTCCTTGTGGAAAGCTGAAGGCCCAATTAGTACTGTTAAAACTGCTTGGACAGCCTGCCTAGAACGATGCGGTGGATTGAACTGTGCTCTGGTAAAATCAATGTGATCTGGAGTGAAACTTCCAATCACCACCACCAAGGGAACTTAATTTTTGGACTTTCACGCAGAACTTGCACATGATACTTAATATGTTTATATTCTGAAAAAGTCGTGTCTAATCAAAGCAAGACAATTTTTCAGTAAAAAACATGTTTTAGTTGGATATTTGATAAAATAGAAAAAATAACACCTAAGTAATTCAAGACAATTTATTCACTGAATATATTGCACACGTACAGTAATCAGATAAATAAGGCTTTTAAATGTTACATGATTTAACCATAGTAATGTATTGGTAAGCATTATTTATAAAATACTAGAGAAAAATAAAACTTTTCTAATGATCTGTTAGATGAAGAATTCTGCATGTATGAATTCAGCAAACAAAATATTTACTAATTTATTGAAAGAGCCCTGAAAAAATTTATAGATTAAAAAGCAATAAAAATTATCTGTCAGAACTATTACAGTATTATTTCCTCCCCAAAGTAAGACTTCTCAATAAATGTAAGCTTGTTAGCGTGATACATCTTTGTAAAAAAAGCAAAATAAATATTTAGGATTTCTATATCTACCATACGAAATGTAGAAACTTGAGTGAAAAAATGACTTAACTGATGTATATATAAACCAGTACATTAAGGAAGGTTAAGAATCAACATTTGTTACTTCACATAAATCTGATATGTATTACATAAACCCTTTAAGAACTAGTCTCAATAAGACTTGCCTACATGTATAGCATCAGTATAAAGCCAGACCAGCCTGCATGTCCGAGTCCTTTGACCAGAATGAATACTGTTCACAACTCAATATCAGGATTCTTATGTTGAAAACTGAAAATCCTTGGCTAGTGTTAGTGTTAGAATCCATTATTTTAATTTTGAAAACCCTTTTACTGAGAATGAACAATTCCAAAAATCAAAACACAGCAAGTCAAAACACAGCAAGTCTGTTGCATATAACAATAAGGAAAGAAAGAAATTATCATTTTTGCAGGACTATGTCTAATAAGATGTACCTATAAATTATCTTTTTAACATAACTATAAAGAAAAATTATGACCAGCTTTATACAAAAATTTATAAAATGTTTTTTTTTTGTATTTCCTTCTTTTAATCATTTAATTATTTTCTTCTTTTGATAAATATAAGTATACTGAAATTATGAAATGGTATTGTCTAGATTCTACACTGCCACATTAACTGTTGGAGTAAAACAACATGAAGAGATTTAAAATGTTAACTGGTGCTGCTGATTTGCTGATAGGGAAACACCTGTAACTGTCGGTGTTACTTGGAAAAAAAAATTCATGTTTTGATGATAGTATTTTATCTGAAAACGCCACACTGTAACAGTAAAGCTAAAATACTTATGTTCATGCAATGAAGCTGATTTTATTTTATTTTCAAAATTTTCAACTTATCTAGACTTATCAAGATTTAATAAAATTGAAAGTTATTTCATATTTTCGATTCACCAAAAAGTCACCACGAAAATAGTAATTATTTATTTCTTTCTCAAAATAATTTATTATTTTTGTCATCATTAAGCACCACGAAGTGTAAGTGTCAATGATGAACTGCCATTTTAGAGATTCAATTTATGTGGAGCTAAAACATTTACATACCATTTTCCTCTTGTCATATCTGATCAGAACTTGACCAAGAAATGTCCCAATAAATGCACAAAATCGTAATAAGAAATTGATGTTCCCTAACAGCCATTTCAAATAGGTAACGAGCGTTTAATAACAGCTTCTCACATTACCATCATTCTGCTTTATCAGATATTTACTAATCTTGTAACTGAAAATTTTTTGTAAACATGCAATCCAATATTCTACTATTTACAAACAATCAAATACAATTTTATACATTTTAAAGTATAGCAATCTTAATATAAACAGAGCATTAAATATCCAAATTAATAAATTGAAAGAATATTGACCGTATAATGTTAGTAAATACCTCTTAATACATTAACATGTAACCTGCCGAATTTCTGTAAAGGAATTGCCCAACTTTTAATTTTTGAACAGTCAATTTGAAAATCAAGTCTTTTTAATTTAAAATTTATAAAATTGAGCTACAAAATGTAACCCTGACTATAATGGTCAATCATAAAGTCTAACAATTGAGTGGCAGCGTGGCTGAGTGGTTAACACATCGGACTTGTAATCTAAGGATTGCTGGCTGCATGGGTTATGGCCCAGTCAGGGACAGGCCATTGTTTCTTTAAGCAAGAAACTTTACACTTATTGCTTAGTACTGTCTGGGTCAAGGAACAGATTGGAGTGTTTCAATAAGCTTATAGCTTCCAACACAGACTAAAATAAATTTGTATAAACTAAAGGCTTGTCACTTTGACTTCAATCAGGTTAATGGTTAAATTGATACAATTATGAAAACTTCTCACAAATGTGCCATAATGTAAATTTAAAAAGCATTAACTAACTAGGTGGTATGTAATGAACAATGAAAAGCTGTATGTAATCATATAAACATTGGTCATATCTTTTCACACAAAAGTTTCTGACAAATTTTTATGTGTAATATGAACGTGAACTTCATTAATCATAAAAATCTGCACTGACTTTAAACTTAAAAATAAACATTCCTATGAAAGAATCATATTACATAATTTGAGATTAATTTTGAATATAACATGATCCTTTAAAGAATATTTTTTAAATATTTTTTTAATGAATTTACAAATATGCATAGACTTAAATGTTTGTTAGTCAGCATTCATATAATCTGTCTGGCTGTAAGCAGTCATGCAACTGATTTAATGGAATAAATGCCGACTTAACAATAAACTAACCCAGGGCTTCTATAAGTGTTTTAAAGAAACAAAGTTTGGGAGTCAGTTATATACACCTTAATTTTGGTTTGTGACATACAAAATATAATGCTCTTCCTTCTATACCTATATAATGTGACTTCCAGTGTTAGACATTTTGCAGTCTCTGACTTCCAAATTTCAAACCTAATGACCGAAGCCCTGTAACCTATTTTGTAGTTGATATTATGTAAATAAATGGGATAGCATTAAATGAAAAGGTTGGTTCTGATTATATAATGAAATATATTGAAGGATTTGAAAAAGATCAGATGAAATATAATTTCTTTACTAAAAAATGTAAATGCTGTATATTTTATCACACATAATGTTCCTGGAATGCGACAGATTAAAGAATACTATATCAGCCTTATTGTATGAGTGTAGGACAAAAGCCCTCCCGGACAAAAGCCCTCCCGATTAAAAGTGACAAGGCGGACAAAAGCCCTCCCGTGAAAATGACAAGGCGGACAAAAGCTCTTCCGTAAAAATGTCAGGGTGGACAAAAGCCCTCCCGTAAAAATGACAGGGCGGACAAAAGCCCTCCCATGAAAATAATAGGGCGGACAAAAGCCCTCTCGCAGCGAATACATATATGTACGTTGAATAGTTTTTATTTTCTTTTCAATGCACTCAACATATTAAAATTGTAATCATGAATATTTTTGTTTTCCATTGGCATAACCGTGTTTGTATGGGCTTGAGCACATTCCTGAGAAATTAGTGCTAAAATCTGTAAGTGCATATTTATTCACATAGATATGAAGGATTACTCCTATGTGAAGTTAATATTATTAGAGTAATAAATGATGAAAAGAAGTTAAAATCATCTAACTTAAAGTAAAAGACATTTATAATGTGCCTTGTAATTAGTCAATTACTTTTAAAAGTGACTTTGTTTCTAACGACATTCGTGTAAAAAGTTACCTCGTTAAACATTTCAGGAAGGTATTTTCAGAATAAAAGGTGGTTCTAGCTCATACACATACTTAGGCCAATTGAAAACAATAAGAAATATATTGTAACAATTTTAATATGTTGAGTGCATTGAAAAAACACAGGTATTCAACATACATATTCATTTTTGTTATGGGAGGGCTTTTGTCCGCCTTGCTAATTTCACGGGAGGGCTTTTGTCCGCCCAGTCATTTTCATGGGAGGGCTTTTGTCCGCCCTGTTATTTTTACGTGAGGGCTTTTGTCCGCCCTGTCATTTTCATGGGAGGGCTTTTGTCCGCCCTGTCATTTTCATGGGAGGGCTTTTGTCCGCCCTGTCATTTTCACGGGAGGGCTTTTGTCCGCCCAGTCATTTTCATGGGAGGGCTTTTGTCCGCCCTGTTATTTTTAGGTGAGGGCTTTTGTCCGCCCTGTCATTTTCACGGGAGGGCTTTTGTCCGCCTTGTCATTTT